TCCCCTCACCCCACCCCACCCCACCCCACTCCTAATATCCATTGGTGAATCCAACCTCACTTCTTTCCTGATTTTCTCTATTCTTGCCTGAGGTTCTTTCGATTCATCTGGTTAGACCCAACTGTTTTCTGTACATGAAAGATAGCGATGACGCAGAGAGTGAACGAATTACGGCTTAATTCAAACTAGTTTATTTCTTCCTTTCCCTCCACTTCATCCCGATGAGAAATGGCAAGCGCCATGCCATGTGAAATTTTCTTTCCTTCTCTCAGTCTTACTCGACCTTTTTCTTGCTTCTTGTTCAGTGCTCTCATGCACATTTGCAGATTACAAATTTGATTGTACATAAAATTAGTAAATTCTCACACTTTAGTTTTGTAAGAAAATTTTTTAGTGAAAAAAACTGGCTTTTATCAGTCATTTACTAATAAAATCAATATGTGGATTTACATTATCAATAATCTATCAATATTTTAGAATAGCGATAAGTCTAAGAACATTTAAACCTCCACTTTAATCGTTGAGATAAAGCTTAATGAAGCCTTTCAAAAAACATAAATTTAGTGGTTCATTGTGGTGAAATAACAATATTTAAATGTTGGTTGTCTAAAGGGCATAAGTTACCTAATAATTATTATTCTCAAATCGAAATAACTTTAAAATAATGACATTTTGGACAATCACGGAATAAGCGAGCATTGTTGACTAAGCTTACCAGATTATTTGCATTTTTTCGAAGCCAATTTAGACTAATACTTATTACTCGAGTGATGTTAGGTTAGTAAATGTTTTCGTCAGACTGCGTTATTTAATGATGACGTTTCAAGGCAAATTCAGGTGCTCCTCGTGTGAATTTATAATCTCCATAACTAGAAATACTTATTTTTTCTGAAAATTAACTTATTCCTTCTTTTACTTTAAATAAAAATATTATTTCAATGTTGATTCTTAATTTAAGGTACATTATAAATTACATTGTCAGGAAATTTGGTAAATAAAAGGCTTAAACAAAAACAATACTTTCATATCTTACATTATGTCCAACGTTATATAACTGATGGCTTTGCAATAACTGTATTCATACAAATAAAGAAATTCTTGCTTCATCATCTGTGATACAGCTCCTATTTTAAATCAACAATTAGGCTATATAAAGGATATACGCAATTTATTGCTATTTCCTATAGTCAATAGCCGAAGACTTTTATAATCTGCTGGAATTTATTTAAAACCTAGTAAGCGGTAATTATTTACGTTGTAATACCAGTGGCTCATATTCGTTTATATTGTTCACTCTCTGTTTATAGTGATACTTGCGACGTTATAAAATATCTAACCCCGTTAGTGCGTTTTTAGTGTATTAGATGGTGTAGTTGCAATCCTGTTATTTCAATTACTTACTGGGTTTCTTAACAAATAATGCCTTATATCAATTTTAATCTATCTAATGGCTAGGAAATGGCAATAAGAAATAGTTATACGTTCTATCACGCTCCCTCACGTGATTTTCCTTCTATGACAGACAGGGATGCTCAAAATTTGTTGTTCCAATGGTGAGCAATATTTCATTGCAATTCCTATCCCCCTCAAAAATTTTAATTTTGGGATGTTTACAAAAAAATGGTTTTTTATACTGATTTATCGTATTCTTCGCTTGATAATTCCCCGAAAATTAAATTAGGTCACTTAAGGGTCGACTTCGGTGTCAATATTTTTCATTCGATGAAGTTTTCAAACACCATGACATGGAAGAATTTGCAAAGGTACTTGTTTGCTTACTTTAAAATACTTTAAGGCGTTTTTTCATGATGATTCAGTTCGAAAATCATTAGAATATGAACGGTTGACAAGTAACTTAGTGTCGACTTGCTAATACTCTTCATAGTGGGTGAATACGAGGTAAAAATTACTTCGATACCCTGTACTCTCACATCTATGGCATTTTTCGATCGATGCATTGGGACGGTTACGCATGAATCTGGGCGCATAAAGTCGTGTGCTGAACTTCCCTTTGGGTCTTTGATAATCGGCGATTGTCTCAGACGCGTACTTATTAACTTTCAGTAGGATGTAGTTTACCAAAAGTTTAGATGTTATGCATCGAGGGCTCGGAGTTCTACAACCTGTACAGCGAGAAAGAGCGTGCAGAATTTTTATTTCGACTCTTTAAGCATATTGTTATTGGAGGAGAGCTTGTTCAACCTAGTGAAGACTTTAACGTTTACACAAACTTTGTTAAAAATCTCTATAAGGATCTTATCAGGTTTGCCTCATTAATAGTTCACGCATTTTTCTAGTGTTCAGAAACTGCAGGATTCAAACGACCTAGTCATTACGTCAAAAATCTGTCAGGTTCAAGTGTTGGTAAGTTTTGAATCTCTGTTTGCTGATGGATTTCAATTTAGAGCAAAGATCTGGTTGTTTATCCTTCTGTCAATGAGCACATCAACGATTTCGCTTACCTCATTGTCAATCCCATCATGCGACATGTAATTGTTCTTTCCCATGTCTATGGAATTGGCCAATTTTAAATAAATCAATCGTTCTACTTGTGATTTTTGGCAGCGCTATGTCCTTTCATAATATGTTGGATAAAGTAAGGATAGAACTGGGAGCCAATCACTCGCATTTTTGGTGTGCCCGTGTTGACAAATCCCTTAGAGTCAGTGGGAGGCGATTTGATAGCAGTTGCGCTAGCAGTCCCCACTTTGCGGGCGACTTTTGCGCCCCACTCCGAAGAGGCGAATTTTAAAATAAAGATAAATCCCAGAATTATCCAAAAACCAGTCTCGTTGGCATACCACAAGGTCCCCCCCCCCCCCCCCCTCCTTATCGACACAAGCTACCTTCATGGCTTCTTTTAGAATTCAAGGCGACTGTCGGATGTTCTACAACACAAACTCCAAAGCGGCCGCGACAAAGAGACCAACGGCTTTCAAGGCAATTCGCCACCAAAAAATAATAATAGCAAACAGAGAAAACGCATATGCAAGAAGTAGAAAACGACCCTTCCTTTATTCTATTACCAATAAGTTGGAAAGGGGATGATCTTTAGGCAAAAGAAAGTGTTTATTAATTTGTTGAAGGCGTAAAGGCAGTAAAAATTAAAAAGAGAGGAGATGGAGGTTACGTACACCAAAGCGAGGAGGGGGGGAGGTGGGCAGAAGGGGTCAAGGGGCAACTGGTGGGGGGAGATCGAGACGAGCGCGTTTGCTGGCGGCGATTGTGTCCAGACAAGCTGTCATAGCACTGCAGAGAGCCACCACGTTCTCGGTCCCTTCGGCTGCGTTCACTCGGGCCAACAACTGCCGAATGGTTGCATACATCTGGGACTGCAGCTCATTGTGCACTTGATTGTGCCAATCCACAACCTGAGGTGACGACGGAGTTATCATTGTTGTTTGCGGATCTGTAAGGGAGAGTGTGTGCGTCCTATTCCAAGCATTATTAATACTTCACATACTTCACTTATTTCAACAGTCAATTCAGGAAGTCAAATCCCGTTTAGCCCCCTCGATAGACGGGAGAAATTTTGCCAATGATGAAACTAGATTATCAATCGCAACTCATTCGAGTCAATACCCAGTAATCAGCCATTGAAGTGAAATATGTCAATTCGTTGATTCTAACAATATAAAATTACTACTCATATTTGCGTTTTACTATCCACTAAACCCCGTAATACAAAGACCGCCATTTGTCAACAAGGCCCCACGGGATTGAGACTATTTGAATCGATTGGGGAATAGTTTTAAGGGAGTGGAAGTAACACTACGAGATGATTTTAAATTTGGAAATGCCAGAATCGTTCTTATATTTATTCTCTACGTGATGTTGGCTTGATAGTAGACATAAACAAAGAGTTGTTCATCTCCCATGGTCCAAAATTGAGGTAAACGCAGCGCACCCACACACTGCCGCCAATGACTCCTCACAAAGCAAGGAGAAAAAGAAAACGAGGACAACCGTCTTCGTGAGTCAGTCAGCCGACCGACTGACTGCCAGGGCCAGTTTGCGTGCGCGTGCCAAGTGCTACAACTCATGCTTCCAAAGTCTGCTAGATCTTAGGCGGCAATAATCAACAACAATCGATAAAGGAAGTTGAAACATTACCAATTGAAGAAACCGAGAGGTTGTTGGCTGGTGACGTCGAGGAAGGACAAGAGTAAGGAACAGAGACAGGAGGAGGGTGACAATCGGAGGCGCATCGCTTTCTCTTCAACGTTGGACGTTCTGTATTCCCTTCTTCTGTTACAACAGCATCGCAACTGGGCGACGTCGCCATCAAAGAAGTAGAGGTAGAAGCAGGAGCAGCAACTACAGTTCCGGCACGGGTTGTTGAGGAAGGAGATGCAGTGTAATAGCGTCGTCTGCCGAAACTCTGTTGCTGTTGCAACTGCTCCATTTCTGCCTTCTCTTCCTCCGCTTTTGATTCCAACATTTTTTCTTTCTTCCAATGCAGCAACATCCCTCCTCCACCACCGCCAGCAGATGCCGGAAAGAGTGCTCCTCCTCGAACTCCCGTCGTCGCATCATCTACAAAAAGCCCTTAGTCTCTAGAGCCCCAGGTGAAAACTTCAAAAAGGGAGAGATGGGGACGGGTTCGTGAACTGGCAGGCCTCCAACGACAAGGAGTGCAGCTCAAAACTGCCACACACACACAGTTGGGCTTTCCCTTCATATCTCCCTTCATTTTACACAACAATTTGGGATCCTCAATTTCTTCCAATGTAGTAGAAGCCTTAAATGGTAACTATTTTTTTTCTTCGTTTACTTGCTAACTAAGTTTCTCACTAATGCATCTTTTGCTTCTAACTGCTAATAAGAAGCAAGCTTGCCCATTCATACAGCCCAGTAATTGTTCTAGAGGCGGCAACAAATCTATCGAAGAGGAGAAGGAAGAGAGATTGAAATGGGAAAATGAATCGAGAGGTTTAAGTAGCCATTCGAGGCCTCAGTACTCCCATCAAGTGATGGTTAGAACAGGGGGGTAGACGAATTCAAAAATCGAATCTTTCACTGAAAGCTTATGCTGATAGCGCTGACTAAGTCTATTTTCTGGACACTGACTCGTACTGCGCACCACTGTGACCTCAAATTCGGACAGACGCAAGCGCTCAGTTAATACCCCCCCCCCCCCCCCCCCCACCCCCGATTTAAATGGTGTTTGCGATGAGGGCTTATTAACAGGGCCCCGTCTCTTCCGCCCATGCAACTTAATCGAGACACTGATAGCAGTAGCAAATGCTAGAAATTAGCTCCCCGACAGAGCAGTTTTTACAAAAGCATCCACGTTTTTGGACGCCCACACAAAGGAGGAGATGACGCAGGGTGCGCACATACACCCCGACAATGACCTGAAATATGGACATTAGACGCATGTCTCACACCGATTCATTGCAAAGACGTCTGTGAGAGGGAAACTTACGAAAGTTGGTTGCCCGAAGAGAGGAGTATTGATCGACTTGGAGGGATGATCGTGGAAGGCAACTTCTTGCTGAAATTGGCACTTCAGAAACAGAGAAACGACGTGTGGAGCTAGGGGAACTAGAGAGCAATAAAATAAATAATCATCATTTGAGAAGTTAATAGGAACATAGATTTGATGGAAAACGCTTACAAATAAGGAGATGATGTGGTTATGAGAGGAGGACCTTCGGGGGTGTTGGTCCCTCCGATCAAGACGGTCGAAGAGAGATCTCGAGGTCCTAAGAGGAGAAAAGGTACCCCAGATGCCAAAGAGGTCTGAGAAGATGGCGAGGCTGCAGGGGCTTCACACGGAGGATCAGGAGCTAATTGGGACGGAGGTGATAATACATTAGCATAACAAAATGGAACAAATAAAAAGTAGTGTTGGCTTTACTTGAGTTCTGTGAATCGCGTTTCAATTGGGAGGCTGCGGCATCGGCGAGAGTACTCAGACCTCGACTATCAACCTCGGAGAAGGTGGTATACTTTACTGCAGGTGGAGCAGTTGCAAGCATCTCGGTAGGAGGAAGTGGCAGTTGAACTCCGTTATCCAATTTACTGTCAGTTCCACGCTCTACTGAACTGACCTAAAGATGATGAGGGCAAAGGCAGCGCATTCATATAATTTGTTTGGCCGTAATAGAGTAGCTGTGCTCATTTTCGACTTAACTTACAGATGGCGTTTTTTGCTCTAAGGGGGCGTTACGAAAAGGTGGAGGAGTGGACTCGGATTTGACTTGTTGAGATGCTCCACGAATGGACTGTTGCGGCTGATTGCTACTCCTGCGTCGAGTTCGTTGTCCGCTGGGACTAGTAAGAGTGGCAGCAGCCGTCGCCGTGGCAACAGTGACAGCTGGGGTGGTGGCGGCGTAGAACTCACCTGAAGGTGGTCTCTCGTGCTCGTGTAGGATGCGAACGTGTTCAAGCCTCTCGCCTACCGTCACCGCTGTGGCCTTGCATTCGCGTCGCGAACATCTCCAGAACACTCTGTCTGACATGCCGTCGCGCGACTTGGTGAACTTGTAGCCGTTAATCACCAGGCTCCGCTCGCCTACAACAGAATCACAGCACATCCCCCACTTACTCTCGCCTCATCCCTCACTTCTACCAGCCGCCATCCTCAGTTGATTTTTATTAGAATTGTGGGCTAATATCACAATTTTATACTAGAAAGAAGAGGCTAAGGCACACATTTTGTACTCTTTTTAAGCGTGATAAGATTAGGGTTAGGATGAAGTATCATATTAGGGTTAAGTAACATTAATATATCATCGGGCAAGAAGTTTGGAAGACATATCCCAAAACAAAATCTAGCATGGTGAAGTAGTTTAAAGTGATAAGTCAGTTGGCAATTTCACTCACCCTTTCTCGTAACATCAAATCCAACTCTAACTTCTATTAAACTCCACTTATCGAGTTTTCCTGCCTGTCCGCTCACAACAACAGTAGAACTCTCCTCCGTCTTTGTATATTCCAATGAATTTGGGGTTGCCTCCGTGTTGGTCGGCATTGAAGCCGTGGAAATCATCGCGCAGTGGAGCTGAAATGACGTCGAAATCACGCGTGTACACTAGAGGAATGGAGTTTTGCAGGTTGCGCTTTGTCTACGCCGGCTAATGCGCACGCAATGACGCATACCCAGTAAACCAATCAGCGCTCAAGGTCAGTGCTGTGCAGCCATTAGGTGTCGTAGATTCTCATCAACCAATCACTTGCTCATTCGGAATACTTGCGCACGTGATTCGATGAGTCCGGAAATCCTGTGGCTCATCAAATGTACTGCTGAGGGCAGATTTCACTTTTATTAAGTTTTGACCCTTTGGCTTAGTAGATAAGCAGGCGCATCATACATAAATATTAAAATTTACTCTTAAAGGAAATGGAGTAGAAGTCAAGACAGAAATGCGTATCTGTTGTGAGGTGTTTTTAATTATGATCAGTTCATTCGAAGTGAGACACCTCTTCCTCCAATCAGTCTTGGATTAATTTAGATGTAGGCTGCTTTAACGTTAAAGGGTGGGTAAAGTATCCCCAAACCTCGAACGCGTTGACTGAATTGGGGAGGGTAAGAAATTGCAAAGAGAACGAAAGTCGCGCGTTCTCCCCTTTAAAAATGGAGAGTGATTCCATCGATGTGGGATGCTGTCCCAATGGCGTTTCATATAAAACTTGCGCTTATTCATAACTGGCGTCCAAAGGCATGTAAAAGCCTAGTTGATCCTTTAACTGAGCGAGTGGGCCTCTTTTCTTAGTTCGTCATCAAGCCCACTTTACTTTATATTTTTACTTGCAAAGTGGCCCAATAGGACATTATAGGACGTTTTGAAGCAGTCAAGGTCAAGATTCCTAGCATAGACCACTTTTCAGAGCCGATATATCAAAGTCTTACTCACATTGGCAAAGTATCTCAATCAGGTGACCTTTGTGGGAACGCTGTTAATTTTTCTACATACTACTGCTATTTTTATGACCCATTAAAAGTGAACTACCCTACCTCTCTTTAATTAACGGAATTTGTTATTAATTTTGTGCAGTTTGTGTGAATTTCGCAATGGTTGGACGGGGAAGCTTCATGATCATCATCATCATCATTAATGCGGACCTCTAATTTAATGTTTGTCCCTCCAACGTAACAATCCTTTTCGGGAATTTTAGACGGAGGTTGGTATCATCACAATTTCCGTATGACTACGTTAGGAGGTTTGTGGTCGTGTTGTCGACTGTTCTGAAATTCCTGAAGTTTTTCCCCAGATAAATCTCAGCTCTTTCCAAACCAATATGCTCATTTATTCAACTTTTCAG